CCTGTGCAGCTGAATAGTCCCCAAAGCTTGGGACATGCAGAAAGGTATGAGTGCTGGCTCTCCCAGCTGTGAAGGGGTCCTAGTCATTCTGTGGGAAGCTGCAAAGTTTCAATGCAGGCTCGATGCGGCTGGACTGGATACTCTGAACTTCTGCCATTTGATGTCTAGGCGAAGGGCCTTCTCATTTACTTCCTAGGCCCTGGCCCTTTGTTCACTAGGGCAGGTAGGGACAGGGGGTGTTTACTCTGTAGCCCAGTGGTCCTCATGGTAGTGTAGAACAGAAGCTGCATGGAGGGTATAGATTTTCTACGTGCTGGCCACTACTCAACAGACCTCCTTGTGACTTGTCCTTGAGGCCAGCATTTTTCCATGCCAATCATCCTTAAAATATCCACAAGGTGGCGCGCAGGACCAGGGCAAGAGCACAGTTGGCCTATCAGTCCTCAGAAGGCTTACTTGCTAAATAGCTGGCAGAGTGATGCCATTTGGATGGCATTACTAACCACGACTTGAGCAGTCTACATAAGTCAAACTAGGCAGGGCAGGTTCAGCCTGGGCGTAAACTTGACTGAAGATCAGGCGAATGCTGCACAGTAGGAGTGAGGGCTCACAGTGCTCTTCACAGGTTCTCAGTGTTCGATGTGAGTCAAAAAAGGGGGAAATCAGGCTCAGTCCAAGACTCTCTGCTGGATCTTGGTGTGCTATTTGCTATCTGTGGCAAGGTAGGTGGACTGCATGGCTAGGCCCTGCTCATTTCCCCACCAGTTGTATTCTGAAGGGATGGCAGGCTGACGAACTCATGAACCATTCCATTTCAGGTGGTTGGCTTCAAGCTGGGGTTCGTTTGAGACCATGGCAGCATCATGAAACCAAAAAGTTCAACAGGAGGCAACCATGGATGTCCTGCGGCTCATCTCCCGGCTGGCTGGCTAGAGACTGTAGTGCTTCACGCACAATGGTATGAGCAAGGGCTCCATGAACTCCGGAACCATGCTAGGGCTTTGGAGGGAGGCAGGGAGGGTGAAGGAAGACTGAGATATCAGAAACCCATGTGTCACCTGGCAGCCTTTTGCCTACTGAGTCCCTGGGGTTCTCAATGAATGGCAATGACCTGCTCACTTTTCAACTGGGTACTGTCACGAGCGATGGTTTCTCTCTGATTCTATAACCATTCCTTTTCAGAGGGCTGTATGCAGGCTGTGGAGAGCAGGAGTGCCCGGCCTGACCATAGTTCGTACAGAATCTCCCTGAAGGAGCCTAGCATGACAGTGACCTCACATCATGCTAGCCGGCAGCTCAACGTTGCTCTGGAAGGAGAACGACGCCAGGTGGTTCCCACAATGCGTCCAAGAGGAACTGAATGTTACAGTGGATGCCAGCCGTGTGAGGCAGGTTTCGTAGTGGCAAAATGTACCTCAACTGTCCTGTGCTCGAAATCCAGGGGCCTGGCAGTCTCACACTGTGACGAGGAGCTCCTCAAGTTGCTCAGGCCTGCAGTTAGTTAGCAGTGGGACATGTCGGCCATTCTAGGTAGAACCCAATGCTTCTAATCTTTGATTCGGGGAGGAGGGGAGGTTCAATGCAAGGCTTTCCAATGACCTTCGTGGCCCTGGCTCATGGCTGTGGCAAGATCCAGCTCAGTGCGTATTATTCCATGACTCTCCAGACCTCTGCAGTATTGTTTCTGGGAGTGGGTGTGCCCTAAATGCAGAACCAATCTGAAAGTTTTATGGATGAAAGTCACACCTGTGTAAACTTGTGGTGTGTCTCACTGGCCTTCTCAAGCACAATGCTTTTCCTGTGGCTTGAGGACAGTCTCCCTGCTGTGGGTAATAGACCCTCACCATATCCACGGAGCAGACAGCTGTGAGGGTTGTATCCCTGGCCAGTTAAGTAGTGCCCAAATTTTATGACATGAAGAAAGGTATCAGTCACGACTCTCACAGCTGTTAAGGGGTTCTAGTCATTCTGTGGGAGGCAGCTAAAATGGAATGCAGGCTCACTGCGGCTTGATTGGCCACTCCAACTTTCTGCCATTTGATGTCTAGGTCAAGCGCCTTCTTATTTACTTCCAAGGCCCTGGCCCTGTGTTCATCAGGAGCAGGTAGGAACCAGGGTGCGTTGACTGTGTATCCCAGTGATTCTCATGGTATCCATGAGCAGCAGCTGCATGGAGGGTATAGACTTGCTGCGTGCTGACCACTATTCGACAGACCTCTGTGTGAATTGTCCTTGAGGCCAGCATTTTTCCATGCCACCAATCCTTAAAACAACCACAAGGTGGAGCCTAGGTCCAGGGCAAGAGCACAGTTGGCCTACAAGTCCTCAGAAAACTGCTTGCTGTATAGCTAGCACGGTGATGAGATTTGGACAGCATTGCTAACCACACCTTGAGAAGTCCACTTCTGTGAAACTAGGCAGGGCAGGTTCAGCCGGGGCCTAAACATGGATTGAAAGTCAGGCGAATGCCGCACAGTAGGAGTAAGGGTTCACGGTGTTCTTCACAAGTTCTCAGTGTTCTCTGAGAGTCAAAATAGGGGGAATTCTGGCTCACTCCAAGACTCTCTCCTGGATCTTGGTGTGCTGTTTGCTATCTGTGGCAAGGTGGGTGAACTGCATGGCTAGGCCCTGCTCATTACTCACCAGTTGTAATCTGAAGGGATGGCAGGCTGATGAAATCATGAACCATTCCATTTCAGGTGGTTGGCCTCAAGCTGGGGTTCGTTTGAGCCCATGGCAGCATCAGTGGAACCTAAAAGGTCGGCCGGAGGCAACCATGGATGTCCTGCGGCTCCTCTCTCGGCTGGCTGGCTAGAGACTGTAGTGCTTCACGCACAATGGTATGAGCGAGGGCTCCATGAGCCCCTGAACCATGCTAGGGCTTTTGACGGAGGCAGGGAGGGTGAAGGGAGACTGAGATATCAGAAACCCATGTGTCACCGGGGGGCCTTTTGCCTACTGAGTCCCTGGGGGTTTCAATGAACGGCAATGCCGTGCTGACTTTTCAACTGGGTTCTGTACCGAGCGATGTTTTCTCTCTGATTCTATAACCATTCCTTTTCAGAGGGCTGTATGCAGTCTGTGGAGAGCAGGAGTGCCCGGCCTGACCATTGTTTGTACAGATTTTTACTGATTTAGTCTAGCCTGACAGTGACCTCACATTATGCTACCTGACAGCTCAACGTCACTCTGCAAGGAGAACGACACCAGGTGGTTCGCACAATGTGTCCAAGAGGAACGGAATGTTGCACTGGATGCCAGCCGTGTGAGTGCAGGTTATGTAGCAGAAAAATGTACGTCAACTGTACTATGCTTGAAATCTAGGGGCCTGGCAGTCTCACACTGTGATGAGGAGCTCCTCAAGTTGCTCATGCCTGAAGTTCATTAGGAGTGGGACATGTCGGCCATTTTAGGTAGAACCCAATGCTTCAAATATTTGATTTGGGGAGGAGGGGAGGTTCAATGCAAGGATCTCCAATTACCTTTGTGGACCTCGCTCATGGCTGTGGCAAGTTCCGGCTCAGTGCGTATTATTCCATGAATCTTCAGACATCTGCAGTATTGTTTCTGGGAGTGGGTGTTCCCTGAATGCAGAACCAGTCTGAAAGTTTTATGTATGAAAGTCACACCTGTGTGAACTTGGGCTGTGCCTGACTGGCCTTCTCAAGCAGAGTGCTTTTGCTCTGGCTTGAGGACAGTCTCCATGCTGTCGCCAATAGACCCTCACCATATCCACGGAGCAGACAGTCGTGATGGCTGTCTCATTGGCCAGCTAAGTAGTGCCGAAAGTTTATGACATGCAGAAAGGTATGAGTCATGACTCTCCCAGCTGTTAATGGATTCTAGTCATTCTGTGAGCGGAAGCTAAGATGAAATGCAGGCTCACTGAGGCTTGATTGGGCACTGCAACCTTCTGCCATTTGATGTCTAGGCCAAGGGCTTTCTTATTTACTTCCTAGGCCCTGGCCCTGTGTTCAGCAGGAGCAGGTAGGGACCAGGGCGCTTTGACTGTGTATCCCAGTGATCCGCATGGTAGCCATGAGAAGCTGCTGCATGGAGGGTATAGACTTGCTGCGTGCTGACCACTACTCGACAGATGTCTGTGTGACTTGTCCTTGAGGGCAGCGTTTTTCCATGCATACGATCCTTAAAACATCCACAAGGAGGCACCAAGGAACAGGGCAAGAGCACAGTTAGCCTACAAGTCCTCAGGAGACTGCTTGCTGCATAGCTGGGAGAGTGATGACATTTGGAAGGCATTGCTGACCACACCTTGAGCAGACTGCTTACATGTAACTAGGCAGGGCAGGTTCAGCCTGGGCCTAAAGATGGACTGAGATCAGGCGAATGCTGCACAGTAGGAGTGAGGGCTCACAGTGCTCTTCACATGTTCTCAGTGTTCTGTGAGACTCAAAAGAGAGGGAATTCAGGCTCACTCCCAAGACTCTCTCCTGGATCTTAGTGTGCTGTTTGCTATCTGTGGCAAGGTGGGAGGACTGCATGGCTAGGCCCTGCTCATTTCCCCACCAGTTGTAATCTGAAGGGACGGCCGGCTGATGAACTGATGAACCATTCCATTTCAGGTGGTTGGCCTCAAGCTGGGGTTCGTTTGAGCCCATCGCAGCATCAGTGAAACAAAAAAGGTCGGCAGGAGGCAACCATGGATGTCCTGCGGCTCATCTCTCGGCTGGCTGGCTAGAGGCTGTAGTGCTTCACGCACAATGGTATGAGCAAGGGTTCCATGAGCTCCTGAAGCATGCTAGGGCTTTTGACAGAGGCAGGAAGGGTGAAGGAAGACTGAGATAGCAGAAACCCGTGAGTCACCTGGGGGCCTTTTGCCTACTGAGTCCCTGGGGGTCTCAATGAATGGCAATGCCTTGCTCACTTTTCAACTGGGTTTTGTCCTGAGCGATGTTGTCTCTCTGATTCTATAACCATTCCTTTTCAGAGGGCTGTATGTAGGCTGTGGAGAGCAGGAGTGCCCGGCCTGACCATTGTTCGTACAGATTCTCCCTGATGGAGCCTAGCCTGACAGTGACCTCACATCATGCCAGCCTGCAGCTCAACTTCACTCTGCAAGGAGAATGACTCCAGGTGGTTCGCACAATGCGTCGAAGAGGAACTGAATGTTATACTGGATGCCAGCCATGTGAGTGCATGTTTCATAGTGGCCAAATGTACCTCAACTGTCCTGTGCTCGAAATCCAGGGACCTGGCCATCTCACACTGTGAGGAGGAGCTCCTCAAGTTGTTCATGCCTGCAGTTCGTTAGCAGTGGGACATGTCTGCCATTCTAGATAGAACCCAATGCTTCTAATCTTTGGTTCAGGGAGGAGGGGAGGTTCAATGCAAGGCTCTCCAATGACCTTCGTGGCCCTGGCTCATGGCTGTGGCAAGTTGCAGCTCAGAGCGTATTATTCCATGATTCTGCAGACCTCTGCAGTATTGTTTCTGGGAGTGGGTGTGCCCTGAATGCAGAACCAATCTGAAAGTTTTATGGATGAAAGTCACACCTGTGTAAACTTGTGGTGTGTCTCACTGATCTTCTCAAGCAGGATGCTTTTCCTCTGGCTTGAGGACAGTCTCCCTGTTGTGGGCAATAAACCCTCACCATATCCACCGAGCAGACAGTCGTGAGGGCTGTCTCACTGGCTAGCTAAGTAGTGCCCAAAGTTTATGACATGCAGAAAGGTATGAGTCACAACTCTCGCAGCTGTTCAGTGGTTATAGTCATTCTGTGAGAGACAGCTAAGATGGCATGCAGGCTCACTGCATCTTGATTGGACACTCCAACCTTCTGCCATTTAATGTCTCAGCCAAGGGCCTTCTTATTTCCTTCCTAGGCCCTGGCCTTGTGTTCACCGGGAGCAGGTAGGGACCAGGGTGCGTTTACTGTGTATCCCAGTGGTCCGCTTTGTACCCTTGTGCAGCAGTTGCATGGAGGGTATAGACTTGCTGTGTGCTGACCACTACTTTGACAGACCTCTGTGTGACTTGTCCTTGAGGCCAGCACTTTTCCATGCCAATGATCCTTAAATCATCCACCAGGTGGCGCCTAGGACCAAGGCAAGAGCACAGTTGGCCTACAAGTCCTCAGAAGACTGCTTGCTGCATAGCTGGCAGAGTGATGACTTTTGGACGGCATTGCTGACCACACCTTGAGCAGTCCACTTACTTGAAACTAGGAAGGGCAAGTTCAGCCTGGACCTAAAAATGGACTGAAGGTCTGGTGAATGCCATACAGTAGGAGTGAGGGCTCCCAGTGCTCTTCACAGGTTCTCCGTGTTCTATGCAAGTCAAAAGAGGGGGAATTCAGGCTCACTGATAGACTCTGTCCTGGATCTTGGTGTGTTATTTGCTATCTGTGGCAAGGTGGGTGGACTGCACGGCTAGTCCCTGCTCATTTCCCCACCAGTTGTAATCTGAAGGGACGGCAGGGTGATGAACTCATGGACCATCCCATTGCAGGTGGTTGGCCTCAAGCTGGGGTTCGTTTGAGCCCATGGCAGCATCAGTGACACCCAAAAGTTCGGCAGGAGGCATCCATGGATGTCCTGTGGGTCATCTCTCAGCTGGCTGGCTAGAGACTGTAGTGCTTCACCCACAATGGTATGAGCGAGGGCTCCATGAGGTCCTCAATCATGCTAGGGCTTTTGAGGGAGGCAGGGAGGGTGAAGGAAGACTGAGATATCAGAAACCCGTGGGTCACCTGGGGGCGTTTTGCCTACTGAGTCCCTGGGGGTCTCAATGAATGGCAATGCCCTGCTCACTTTTCAACGGAGTTCTGTCCCGAGTGATGTTTTCTCTGTGATTCTATAAGCATTCCTTTTCAGAGGTCTGTATGCAGGCTGTGGAGAGCAGGAGTGCCAGGCCTGACTGTTGTTTGTCCAGACTCTCCCTGATGGACCCTAGCCTGACAGTGACCTTATATCATACCAGCCGGCAGCTCAACATCGCTCTGCAAGGAGAACGACACCAGGTGGTTCTCACAATGCATCCAAGATGCACAGAATGTTACACTGGATAACAGCCATGTGAGTGCAGGTTTCATAGTGGCAAAATGTACCTCAACTATCCTGTGCTCGAAATCCAGGGGCCTGGCAGTCTCACACTGTGACGAGGAGCTCCTCAAGTTGCTCATGGCTGCAGTAGTTAGGAGTGGGACATGTCGGCCATTTTATGTAGATCCCAATGATTCAAATCATTGATTCGGGGAGGAGGGGAGGTTCAATGCAAGGCTCTCCAACTAACTTCATGGCCCTGGCTCATGGCTGTGGCAAGTTCCGGCTCAGTACCTATTGTTCCATGACTCTCCAGACCTCTGCAGTATTGTTTCTGGGAGTGGGTGTGCCCTAAATTCAGAACCATTATGATAGTTTTATGTATGAAACTCACACCTGTGTAAACTTGGGCTGTGTAAGGAAAGATCATGTTGGGCTCAGCCTGGGATCTCATTGTGTTGGAGATGCCTTCAGTTCTTCCAGGTGTGCTCCCCTGTCCTGGAATGTGCAGTGAAATCTCGGAACACAACTCCAGTCACTTGTGTGAGGGTTGTGGTCTTTGTGCCATGGCTAGAAAATAGGACTGTGCTGCTAGTTGCAGGCTTGTGTGATGTGAAGGCATAAGCAAGATGCAGCCGGAGCCATTGAGCTTTATTGAAGCTCCAACTTTGGAGAAGGTCCGTCTGCAAGTTCTGTAACCAACCTGAGCAGAACACTATTTCCCACGTGAGGGACCCACCCCACAGGTAGCCTTGTCTTGCTCAGGTGGCCCTGCTTCCCTAGTGGGTGGTTGTACGTCCCAACCTGAATAGTCACTTGCCCAAGAGAAACATCCACATGTCTTCTCATGTGGGTGTTCTGGGAATTTTTATTTCATCGTGGTTATTGGTGCATTTTAGGTATAATGTACAGTGACATTCATTGTTGGCATCTCGTAACTTTACATGTCAGGTCTTGGTTTTCCTTTTTGACCCGTGTCCCTTCTATCCCTTCACTCTCTACTACCCTCCTTATTTAAAAGTTTTTAATTACCATTTTCTCATTTTCTCCTATTTTTTTCTTCCCCTTATTACCATTTGCCTCCACTTCCCCCTCCCCTACACCTGAAGCCAGATTCTTCCTATTTGACATTGTCATTGATTTCATCAGCATCTAATGCACTATTGTAGTTTATTCACACCAGAGAAACTATTCAGTCTTTACACATGTTTGACTTATTTGTTTCCCTTTTGAGGATATCATATTCAGACACATATAGCAGTGATAGCCCAGGCAGTCTATGTTACTTGTGTTAAATCCACCCATTGAGCCAAGGCCATTCTTCTGTTAAATTGGGCTTCCCATCTCGCTGTCCTCCTGAGATGGATGCGCCTGAAATTTTGAGGGAGTAAATACACATTGAGCATATCTTGAGAGGCCTAAGATTACAGTCAATGAGGCAAATTTGGAAGCCTGAGATATAAATTCTGTTTTCTCAGAGGCTGGTAGAGTATCAAAGTGCACTGTGAGTGTCAGATCCACGACAGTGCTCAGCTGTCATAATTTCAGGCAGTTGGCAGGTTGGATCATTTCCATGGTTCCCGGGGAGAGCTGGATTGTGGTAACCATGGAGACTAATGGGAACCATGGAGACAGCAGTAGAAGGCTAACGCCTCAGTCTCATTCCCTTCCATTTAGGCCTGTCTTCTGGCTCTTGTTGAATGATGCAAGTGAGAGGATTTTCTGAGGACACTGAGGAATTTTGACTCTCATTTCTGGTGGCCTGGGGTACAGAGCCTCAACGACCTTCCTGAACAGATCCCAGAAGTCAGCCAGCACGTGAGTGAACACTCTGCCTTTCACTTTTTGTATCATTTCAAGAAACATCCAGTCACAGTAGCAGCCAATGTGACTTTGTGCACGGTTTTCAATTACAGCTCAGTTTGACTGAACTAGTTCACAGGATTATCGGACTGTCATCACACTCCATCTCCAAACTTTCTGGCCCCCCTTCTAAAGAGGCAACTCTGTGACCTCAAAGACCCTCGCAAGTATCCTTAGTGACACTGGGAAAATTTTGATCCCAATAGTTTCTGTTGTTGACAATCCAAAGATGGCAGGAATGGCATCCTATGGGACCAGTCCTTGTCTGCCCAGGGTGTCCTTCACTCTGGAGAAAAATGTTCCTTCTCAGTCCCTGTTTAAGCCCGTGACACCGGCCAATGCTTCCTACGGTTCAATATCTTGGGTAGACTTTTTCTATAGTCTCTGAAACAGTGCTCCTTTTCCTCCCTCCCACTTCTCAGGGATGCCCCTTCCTGGGTACCTATATTTCCCCTAGTCACGAAGCTCACACTGTGGGCTCTGTCCATTCCTTAGATCTCTCTTCCAAATTCCCCAGATGTTTCCTAAGTGACAGCATGGTATTCACTCTTGCAATCCCACTGTGGTGGCCCGTGTGCCCACTCAGCCACTGCGGGAACAGGTGCCCAAGAAACTCTCATTCTTTCCTCACATCCACAAGTCCCTATGACCCTGGCTGCCTCCTTTTCACATCCCCTCTCCTCATTTTCCTGCTTCTTCCTTACATGGCATTCCACAGTACTATACTTCACCTCCCATGCCTCCCATTTCATGGCTGGCCATTCCACAGAAGATGACAACCATCAATTACCAATGTTGAAATGAATGGTGGATTTAGCCAAATTGGGAATCCTGTGCCTCATCGTTCTTCCACGTGTTTTGGAAAACGCAGTTTAAATGGCAGTGGAAGGAAAGAACGTGTTGGGATCTGCCTGGGATCTAATTGTGTTTGAGATGCCTTCAGTTGTTCCAGGTGTGTTCCTCTGCCCTGGAGTGTGTAGTGAAATCTCGATACACATGTCCAGGCACTTGTCTGAGGGTTGTGTTCTTGTGCCATGGCTAGAAAATAGGACTGTGCTGTTAGTTGGAGGCTTGTGCGATGTGAAGGCATAAGCGAGATGCAGCCGCGGCCATTGGGCTTTATTGAAGCTCCAACTTTGGAGGAGGTCCGTCCGCAAGTTCTGTAACCAAACTGAGCAGGACACTATTTCCCGCGTGAGTGACCCACCCCAGAGGTAGCCTTGTCTTCCTCAGGTGGCCCTGCTGCCCCAATAGGTGGTTGTAGGTCCCAACCTGAATGGTCACTTGCCCAAGAGCAACAGCCACATGCGTTTGCATGTTGGTGTTCTGGGAATTTTTTTTTCATCGATTTTATCAGTGCACTTTAGGTATAATGTACAGGTACATTCATTGTTGGCATCTCGTAACTTTACATGTCAGGTTTGCTTTTACTTTTTGACCCATGTCCTTTCTGTCCCTTCACTCTCTACAACCCTCCTTATTTACAGTTTTTTTTAATTTCCATTTTCTCATTTCCTCCTATTTTTTCCTTCCCCTTATTACCTTTCGCCTACACTTCCCCCTCTCCTACACCTGAAGACCTTTTCTTCCTATTTCACATTGTCAAAGATTTCATTAGGATCTTATGCACTATTATAGTTTATTCACACCAGAGAAACTATTCGGTATTTACACATGTTTGACTTATTTGTTTCCCTTTTGAGGATATCATATTCAGACACATATAGCAGTGATAGCCCAGGCAGTCTATGTTACTTGTGTTAAATCCACCCATTGAGCCAAGGCCATTCTTCTATTAAATTGGGCTTCCCATCTCGCTGTCCTCCTGAGGTGGATGCACCTGAAATTTTGAGGGAGTAAATACACATTGAGCATATTTTGAGAGGCCTAAGATTACAGTCAATGAGGCAAAATCGGAAGGCTGAGAAATAAATTCAATTTTCTCAGAGGCTGGCAGAGAATCAAAGTGCACTGTGAGGGTCAGGTCCATGACAGTGCTCAGCTGTCATAATGCCAGGAAGTTGGCAGATCAGATCATATCCATGGTTCCCGGGGAGAGGTGGATTGTGGTAACCTTGGAGACTATTGAGAAAGATAGAGACAGCAGTAGAACGCTCATTCTCATTCCCATCCATTTAGGCCTGTATTCTGGCTCCTGTTGAAAGATGCAAGTGAGAGGAGTTTCTGAGGACACTGAGGAATTGTGACTCTCAGTCCTCGTGTCTTGGGGTACAGGGCCTCAACAACCCTCCTGAACAGATCCCAGAAGTCAGCCAGCAGGTGAGTGGACACTCTGCCTTGCACTTTTTTTATCGTTTCAAGAGAGATCCAGTCACAGTCTCAACCAATGTGGCTTTGTCTGCGGTTTTCCATTCCAGCACAGTTTCACTGAGCTAATTCACAGGATTATCGGACTGTCATCACCCTCCATCTCCAGGCTTTGTGGCCCTCCTTCTAAAGGGGCAGATCTGTGATCTAAAAGAGCCTCGGGAGTCTCCTTAGTGAGACTGGGAAAATTTTGATCCCAATGGTTTCTGTTGTTGACAATCCAAAGATGGCAGGAATGGCAACCTATGGGACCAGTCCTTGTCTTCCTAGGGTGTCCTTCACTCTGGAGAAAAATATTCCTTCTCAGGCCCTGTTTCAGCCGGTGACACTGTGCAATACTGGCTATGGACCAATATCTTTGGTAGACTTTTCTGTAGTTTTAGAAACAGTGCACATTTTCTTCCCTCCCACTTGTCAGGGATGCCCCTTCCTGGGTCCCTATATTTCCCCTTGTCACGACACTCACACTGTGGGCTCCGTTCAGTCCTTGGATCTGTTTTTCAAATTCCCAGTCTCTTTCTTAAGTGACAGCATTGTATTCCCTCCTGCAATCGCACTGTGATGGCCCTTGTGCTCTGTTAGCCACCTGAGAAACAGGTGCGCATGAAACTCTCATTGTTTCCTCACATCCACAAGTCCCTATTGCCCTGGCTTCCTCCTTTTCACATCCGCTGTCCCCATTTTCCTGTTTCTTCCTTACATGGCAATCCACAATACTATATTTTACCTCCCATGCCTCCCATTTCCTGGCTGACCATTCCACAGAAGATGACATGCATCAAGTACCAATGTTGAAATGAAAGGTGGAATTGGCCAAATTGGGAATCCTGTGCCTCACCGTTCTTCAACGTGTTTTGGAAGAGCAGTTTAAATGACAGTGTAGGAAAGAACGTTTTGGGCTCAGCCTGGGATCTAATTGTGTTTGAGATGCCTTCAGTTGTTCCAGGTGTGCTCCCCTGCCCTGGAATGTGTAGTGAAATCTCGGAACACACCACCAGTCACTTGTGTGAAGGTTGTGTTCTTGTGCCATGGCTAGAAAATAGGACTGTGCTCCTAGTTGGAATCTAGAAAATAGGACTGTGCTCCTAGTTGGAGGCTTGTGTGATGTGAAGGCATAAGTGAGATGCAACCAAGGCCATTGGGCTTTATTGAAGCTCCAACTTTGGAGAAGGTCCGTCCGCAAGTCCTGTAACCAACCTGAGCAGGACACTATTTCCCATGTGAGGGACCCACCCCACAGGTAGCCTTGTCTTCCTCAGGTGGCCCTGCTTCCCCAGTGGGTGATTGTTGGTCCCAACCTGAATGGTCACTTGCCCAAGGAAACAGCCACGTGTCTTAGCATGTTGGTGTTCTTGGAATTTTTTTTCATGGAGTTTATTGGTGCATTTTACCTGTCATGTACTGTTACATTCATTGTGGGCATGTCGTACCTTTACATGTCTCGTGTTGGTTCTCATTTTTTCCCCGTGTCCCTGCCCTCACTTCACTCTCTACCATCCTCCTTATTTACATTTTTTTTATTTCTTTTTTCTCATTTTCTCCTATTTTTTCCTTCCCTTTATTACCTTTCGCCTACACTTCCCCCTCCTCTCCACCTGAAGACCTTTTCTTCCTATTTCATATTGCCATTGATTTCATTAGGATCTTATCCACTTTTATAGTTTATTTTCCTTCCCCTTATTACCTTTCGCCTACACTTCCCCCTCCTCTCCACCTGAAGACCTTTTCTTTCTATTTCATATTGTCATTGATTTCATTAGGATCATACCCACTTTTATAGTTTCTTCACACCAGAGAAACTATTCGGTATTTACACATGTCTGACATATATGTTTCACTTTTTAGGATATGATATTCAGACACATATCACAGTGATTGCCCAGACAGTCTATGTTACTTCTTTTTAATCCACCCATTGAGCCAAGGCCATTCTTCTGTTAAATTGATCTTGCCATCTCGATGTCCTCCTGATGTGGATGTGACTGAAATTTTGTGGGAGAAAATACATATGGAGCATATATTGAGAGGCCTATGATTACAGTCGATGAGGCAAATTTGGAAGGGTGAGATATAAATTCAGTTTTCTCTGAGGCTGGTAGAGTATCAAAGTGCACTGTGAGGGTCAGGTACATGACAGTTCTCATAATGCCAGTAAGTTGGCAGCTCGGTTCGTTTCCCATGGTTGCCAGTAAGCACTGGATTGTGGTAACCATGGAGACTGCAGCAGAAAGGCTTGGCCCCGATATTCAGTCTCACCATTTGGGCAGATGTTCTGGTTCCTGTGCAAACATGCATGAGAGAGGAAGCCCTGAGGACACAGTGAGAATTTGAATCTCTCACTCCTGTGTACTGAGGGTGGATGGCATACCATGTTTTATGTGGAGGTCTTCTATTTCTGGAAAGAAATTCTCAGTGACATTAAGTGTACCTCTCTCACCAGTTTTCCGGTACAACTCAGCTTTATGTAGAGTGTTCTTTTCTCTTTGCTATGCTCATCACCATTCATCACCAGTCTTTCTCAGCTCCCTGTCACATTTGAACCTCTGTAGCCTGGAATGGCAAGCTGAGGCTTCTTCCCGTTCCCTGGCACTGTGAACACTTTAGTCCTGTCTGTTGCTTGTGTTCTCCATCTAATGTCCCCAGGCAGGGCAGCATACAGGACGGTTCCTTGACTGTGTGATGTCCCTCACTCTATGGAAAGATGGCTTCCTTTGTCCCAGTTGCAGCAGTTATCCCAGGCCTGTGCCTTCTTAATGTTGGTTCAGTTCTTCTGAGGCTCTGCTACACAACTTCTTTCCACCCTTCTTCATCTTGTGGACTGCCCCTTCCTGGTTTCCCTTTTTCCCCTAGCCTACTTGGCAGCATTTCGGCCTAACTCCATTTCACTTATCGCGCTCCCAGGTTTCCAGCCCCTTGAACACATTAGAGCCTCCTGTTCTTTCCTAAGAGGCAACTGCTGAGGACACTGTAAAAACACAGCCACTGGAGGACCAGGTTCCCATCTGACGATCTGGCTTTCTTCACAATCTTAGAGACCTTATAGCCCTGGCTGCCTTTTAGTCACCTCATCCTCCCACATGTCTCTATTTCCCTCTTTCATGGCTGCCCTGACTACTTCGGTTCCACTCCCAGTTGTCCAATCTTCTCTCTTTTGGGAACGTGTGTGATTTCAACACTCAAATGACATGGATTTGACCTTTGTCCTCAACCACCTTGGGGATTGTGCATCTCATCATTCTGCAACATGCTTTGGAAGTGTTCTGTTCCACAGCATTTCAAGACTAGAACATTGTGGTTCAGTCCATGACATAATTGTTTATGAGGTGAATTCAACTACTGCTGTTGCTATGTCCTGGCCTGTACTTTGTTCTGGACTTTCAGGATGCATCTCTCCTTATTTCTTGGATAGGCTTCTTCTTTCTGCAAAGACTTGGAAGTAGGCCTATGCTGGGATTTGGGATCCTCTGAGACATGCTGAATTATGGCCAACCCAGCCAGGCCCTTTGATCTTTTGGGCAGCTCTGTCTGTTCCCAAAGTCCTGGTCCAGATCCTGGCCCACCTCAGCTGAGCAGGCCACATTCTCCCAGGTGGAGGAACCAGCCGTCACAATGCCCTGCCTTCGTAATGTGGCCCTTCCTCCAAGAAGAGTGGTTTGAGCCCCAAGGAGAAGGGCCTTTTGCCCTGAGTTAAACAGCAAAAGGTCCTAGGGTGCTGAGATTCAGGGGACTTTCATAAGGGAAACTCAAGCATTTGGGTGTTTCATCTGCTCATCCTGTCTTTGAGCCAGGGCCGTGGTTTTGTGAAAATTGTGCTGCTCTGTAGATCTCCCATGGAGCAGGTTGTGACCTGGATATGTGAGGGAGGAAAATTGAAATGAGAGGTGTGGGATCAGAGTCGTGGAGGTGGATTTCAATAGCCCATTTCTCAATACAATATTACCGGAGACTGGCAGAGAGTGAGAGTGCACAATGTGGGCCCGTGCCAACCCAGAAGTAGGCTGTGATAATGCTGCAGAGTTGGCAGCTGAGATGAGTGGTCATGGGGTTGGGGGAGGGTTCATAGTGGGAACCATGGAGACAGCAGCACAAAGCTAAGGCCTGAGTCTTACGCCCATCCATTTAAGCCTGTCTCCTGGCTCCTGGTCAACGATGCAAGTATGAGGAGGTGCTGAGGACACTGAGGAATTTTGACTCTCAGTCCTGTTGGCCTGGGGTAGAGGGCCTCAACCACCTTCCTGAACAGATCCCAGAAGTCAGCCAGCAGGTGAGGTCGACACTCTGTCTTTCACATTTTCATATCATTTTAAGAGAGATTGAGTAGCAGTAGCAGCCAGCGTTCATTTGTCTGTGGTTTTCAGTTACAGCACAGTTTTACCTAGGTATTTCAAAGGACCATACGACTGTCATCACACTCCATCTCCAGAATTTCAAGCCATACCTCGAAGTAAGAAGTTCTGTGTCCTGAATCAGCCTCCTCAGTCTCCACAGTGGCACAGTGAACACTTTTCTTCCCTCAAATTCTTGGGTTCACACTCCAAAGATGGCATAACTGGCTTCCTAGGAGACTATGCCTTGTCTGCCTGGTTTTTCTTTCGCTCTGGAAAAAAATACTCTTCCTTAGGCCCTCTTGCAGTCCTTCACAGAGTCTTGTGCTTCTTAATGTCCAGTAACTTGGCTAGAGTTTTCTACAGTTTCTGAAAGAGTACTCCTTTTCTTGCCTCCCACTTCTCAGAGATTCCCCCTCCTGGTTGCCTACTTTTTCCCTAGCCATCAAGCTCAGACTGTGGGCTCCCTCCATTCCTCGGTCTCTCTTCTAAATTCCCAGTCCTTTTGCTACGTGAAAGCATTTTGTTCGCTCCTACATGCCCACTGTGGAGTACCTTGTGCCCACTCAGCCACTGCAAGAACAGGTGCCCATTGAACTCTCATTTTTTTCCTCACATC